GAATGTTATTGCCCCAGCCCCATCCCACCACCCCACTCAGTACCCAGGTGCCATCTCCCAAGAACGTTATTAGCCTAGCCCCATCCCACCACCCCGCCCAACCTACTGTGATGCAGTACCCTGCCATCTCGCAGGAACGTTATTGCCCCATCCTACGGCCCCACCTAACCTACTGTGCATTTGGTTGCTGAATCGTTGTTTTTTGGTTGCTGAACCGGCGGAATGTTGGTTCTGAATCGCGAAAATTTAGTTTCTGAATCGCAAATTGTTGGTTTCTGAATCGCGCCATTTTGGTTGCTGAATCGCGGATTTTTGGTTTCTGAATCGGACTTTATCCGAAGCCATCGCCTGCAAGAAGGAGCCACCCAAGTGTAGCCATCTGGGCAATAGGACGAATACGTGTTCCCTGTAATGACCTGGCGTGGAAAGAATGTGTTAGGTTGGTTTTGCACAAAACTGAGCTGCGTGAACCTTAAAAAAGAAGTTGCACTCGCGGAATTCGACTAAGGCTTAAGCCACCCCCGCATCATCTCCAGTGACCCTCCAATAGTTGTAGGCGGTTGAGTTGTGCGACATTGTAGTGGCAGCGCATGGCATAAACTCCGCGCTGGTATTGAGGACAGTCACATTGTCGAAGTACTTCCAAGGTTGATGCCAGCCTGCTGAAACCACCCGAAAGACTCTTCAACAATTGTGCAAATCGCACTGCGATCCCCCGCATTGCCAACAAGAGGCCGCTGGGAAACCCAACAAACGGACTCATGGGGGCTGGGATGTACTGGTGAAATCCAGGACAAGACGGTGTACTGATGCCTTCCTGGTGTGAAGGCGCGTGCAGGGAAGAAACTGCGCTTTCCGGGAAGAAACTTCTACAGAAATTGTATCCCCGAAGCTGCCCCACGCTTGCTTCAACACACTGAGGCAGATTGTCTGTCGTTGGCCCTCACCAACTCGGCCAGGACACTTGCATTGTAGCTTTTGTAGTACTCCATAGCAGCTCCCTCCGCTGCTCCAGTGTCCAAAACGTTTCGGGGCACGTACATGCCAGCACCACCTGAGTGAATCGTCTGTTTGGACACCAAAATTTTGGATGTCACAGGTGTTGAGCATTTTCCTTTTGAGCCACTGTCTGAGCCAAACTCACAATAAGCCATAAGCAATGCATGAAGCTGCTTCCTGTGGCAAGTTTGAGAGCGAGGCACCTTTATAGCCCATGCCTCCTCCCGAGATGGGCATCTCACCCTGTGCCGTCGCGACGGGTCCACAAAAAGAAATAACACGCATCACCGCTCGAGAGTTCCTTTACATATCTTTACATGATCAGCGTCCGCCGCGTCCACCATACAACAAAGCTGTACTACGCAGCCTGATATTTCTCGGTGAGGGCAGCAATGACGTTGGGGAAGGTTGTCCACCAACTGTCCATCACCATGTGAATGCGCACTTTACCTTCGAACTCAAACTAATACGCCACTATAACTCGGAAACGCCACAACAGTTGCTAAAGCGCATGAACGGCATCAAGAAGCGAATAAAAACAGCGAGCGAAGTTGCGGTTGTCACAACCACGGTCATCGGCATTGTACCATGTGGCACACCCCAGAGTGGCATACATTCCCTGCACGCTGGAAGACAGCGGCGTTGGCTCCACTCCTGGCAATCGAATCCGAATCCGAGAAAGCCTGCGTGCACAAACACACATACATGCATATATATATATATACATATACACACACCAAACTCATTCAAGCTCCATCACGAAATGCAACTCAGCTTCGGGTGTTGTATCCCAAGACTTCTTCGGTGAGAATCTCGATCATTGCACTGGTCAGCCCTGCGCTGGCCCACGTAAAGACCGCCACCCCCACGGGGAAGGACTCCCCTGCGATATTCGTCAGGTTGCGCCGTTGATCCACAGCCACAGCGTCCGGCAAACAAGTGCTGGTCAAAGTGCCGCTCGCCAAGGCAAGCTGGGCAATGAACAGCCACGATTCAGACCTGGCATGGAAAGCAAAACGCTTAAAAAGAACAAAACGCTTTCCGGACATGTCGAGCGACGAGGTGAGCGGAACGGACGGACGAGACCGTGACTGCGGAGGTGACGGCGGTGCCTGCCTCATGCTCCTCCGGGCAGTTGCAATTCTCCAATGAGCTCTGCAAGGGACTGTTCTTGAGGAAACTTGAGCAACAAATGCTGCAGGACATGCAGTCCGGCACTGGGGCAGTTGAGGAGGTTCCCTGATCTCGAAGGTTCTATCACTGCTCTTGGACTACCTTTCGATCGGCTACTATGACACCACCACAGGTACTGTCCGCACATGTTGCAAGAGAAACTCATTCCGACAATCTCAAAGGCTGGGGCGGCGAGAGAGCTTCAAGCAAAACACTTTCGTTTGTAGACTGCCAGTGCAAAGGCTAGACTATGCACAATCTCAACCTCAACTTGCCAAGAGTTTCAACCACCTAAAATCAGGGATCATTGCACCCTGATGTAGTCTTTCCGATCAACCACCTAATTACTCACTAGGAAGTGTCTCCAAGAGCCTCTGCATGTCTCTGCGCATCGTCCAGGCGACTGTGGACCTGGCCCACATCAAACAAAGGAGTGTGTGAGGACTAAGGAGCTTCGTTTGCAGATGCATATTCGCAGGGCCACCGCAAGTGCCTTCCAACCTTGCCCACTACAGTTGGCCTGCCAGGCTTGCGATCAACTGTTGAATTGTCACAGGCCTCTTGGTTCAATTCTGCACTTGGATCCCCACGAAGAGCACAGTCTGTGTGTACACATGTACCTAAACCACCCATCCAATGAATGCGATGAACGGTCCACAAATGTCCTATCTATTCATGAAACTGATGACGGGTGAGTAGGATTGTATGAAGTAGCGAATTCCCACGGTCACAATGGAAATTTCAAATTCATTGATTTTTGTACACTCTACCATTCATGTTGTTCGTGTGTCATATTAAGAACTTGTGACTTATGTAGTCTTGTCGTACTAATCCTTTTTGATATGTGCTTGCGTTCATGACTAACTTTAATTGGATGCTGGTTGACAAAGAGAGCAAAAACAGGAGACCAAAGACCCATAGGCTGTGGAAAAAGTGGTTCTCTGATTAAAAGTATCACCAGTAGATTATCAATGTTCGTGTGATTCTCTATTGTTCATTCCCTATCCATCTCAACGAGAACCTTAAGGTGGATACGGGGCCAGGCGATCGACAGGCGATCAAGGGTTAACCGTTAATCGATGGGGCACAATGGCTCGCTAGGGCCGCTAGGGTGTTGGGGATCCAACCACCCATCCAGCCACCACTGTGCGCCGGTCCAACCCTATCAAAAGTTGTGGTTGTAAGCGATGGAAGAAGCCACATGTGATTGAAATTCTCGTCAATGCGATCGATTTGTCCGGTCAAATTACAGTAACCCGATCCCCTTCTTTCCTGCTCTTGAGGTTACTCTGCCAGGCCAAGACCAGGAGGGTCCACATCCAAGAAGGGGCCCCCCTCTGCCTCTTCCCTGCAGCACTCTGCCTCTTCCTTGAGCCTCAATATGGAAGAGACTGATGGACCCTTTCTTGGATCTGGGGTTCAGCCGTTCTGGGCACCGCCCAAACCCCTTAGATCTCTCTTTCATGCCGAGCCCACACCTCCGCACGCAGCTTCTCCTCGGCTTCCTGGAGGCGCTCCGCGATGGCCTCGCCCGAACAAAGGGAGGCGTCTCCAAAACGAGTCGCACGCGTGCACTGGTGACACCAAACCACAAGATGTTCAGCCTACAGCAACCTGGACATTTGGACATCAGAGTGTGCCGGTCTTGAATTGTTGGACTTGGACTTTGGGATCAAGCGAACGTGGATTTTACTGTTGCTGCGCAATTCCGCGTGAACGGAGAATTTAGGCTCTTAAACTCTGTGACCCCAAGTCACTGTCCCAAAGGTTGTAGTTGAAGCTTAGGCCCACTTTTAGTTCACGCTTGACTGAGCTCTGGTGTCGAAATGAACACAAAACTTGAACAAACGGCTGCAGTGAAACATACATCTATACAAGCTATGTCATGTACATGCCACTGGTGCTACATCTGATCACGCCTCCCGAGTTTAACTTCTGGGAGATGTTAAGCGAGTCAGGATTAGCACTGTTCACTAGCTAACTAAGTGCTGAATTAGCTCGTAGCCCTTCAGTACTTCTTCAAGACCAAGATGTACCTACTCTAGCTCAAGCCGTTCACGCTTTCAAAGTCAGTTCGTGCTCACCTTCCAAGTAGTGGAAGTTCATGCCTTTCATGGCTGTAGTCATTTTCTCCTCGACCGCTTTCGTAAGCACGTCGGCTAACATTCGGTCGGTGCCTTCCTTCTTGAGACGAAACTCTTTCTTTGCTGTACGCTCTTGTACCCAGTGGTACTGAGTGTCAACATGTTTAGCTCGTCCCAAGCCTCGACGGTTTCCCATGGCGATGCCAGCGGAAGCGTCCATTGTCACCTCTTTGCTGGGAAACAATCCCCAGTCTCTTGCAGTTGATGCGACTCCAAGCATCTGACATTCTCCTGAAACAAGTCCGTAGAACTCGGACTCGCCACTGCTTAGGGAGACAACTCCTTGGCCCTTGCTGTACGTAGTGAGACAGCATTTGTTGGCCATGAGCACGCCTCCTGACACACTCTTTCGTGTCCTTATGCAACCTGCATGGTCGGCGTCTGACCACATGTTGAAGGGGTTGCAGGTGCTTTGGTTTGGAAACAACTGTGCAACTCTTGGTCGATACCTGACATATCGAGCCAATCGTTTCAGCATATTCCAGTGCCTCGATGTTGGGTTCTGTAGACCTTGTGCCAACGAGCGCGTTGCAGTTTGCAGATCAGGTCGATCCTGTGCCAAATACGCGGCTCTCATAGCAATAGATCTATACATCGTTGCATCTTCGGCACTCAGCGGAACTTCTTCGTGTTGGAGTTCCTCTTGACTTGGCTTGGCCAAAGGTGTCTTGACCTTGCCTGGTTGACCAGTGCCTAGCCATTTGATGATCAACTCTGCATGTCTTGGATCTGGTTCCCACCAAATGCCTTCATTTGACCAGGTGATGATACGATTCAGCACTCTGATCTGTTGACTTGCTTTTGGTGAACCTGGTGGACCGAGAATGCCTCGTTCCACAACTTGCCATTCTTTGGCTGCTGAAGTGTGAAACCATTTGATGTCATCAAAACTTCCAACGGTCGTGAAATCATCTCCATGCACTTCTTTTCGCAGTTCTCTGGATGCATGGTAGTAAATGCATGGATTGGACTTGCCTTGAACAAATCCCAGCTTCTTCGTGAACTCTGCAATGGTCAGCTCCCAATTCATGGGTGCGTCTCTGGTGCCGTATAGGCTTCTGACCAATTTTCCTACCACATCTCCATCTTCAGGTCTCTTGCCTTCTGATGGAATTTCAACATAGAGTTCTCTTGTTGCTTTGGAGTAGAAATGAGCTCTCTTCACATCCAAAAATCCTAGAAAAGATTGTTTTGATGTTCTTCTCTCGCCTTTCTCCAATGGAAGGCTGTCACTGACTGCGATGGTTAGCAGTAGCTTCAAAGCTGCTAGGCTCGGCATGGCTGCGAAAAATTCGTCAAAACCTGAGCCTCTTTTGATTTCTTGTGCTACCAATCGACTTCTGTAGAGAGGATTGGTTTCATCTTGCTTGTTCACATCTACCCATCGAGTTCCAATGATTTTGGTTCCTTTTGGAACTTTGCTTCTTGGGCCTCGGCCTCTTCAATGGCCTTCTGGATCGTCTCAGACTTCTTCTCATACAGTTCACGGTTGGACTGCATGGTCTCTTGGATTGCTTGGTTCATGACAGCAATCCCAGCAGATGCAATTCCAGGACGACCTTTTCCAGCTCCTGGCTTCTTTGGCATAGCCTTGACTTCAGTCTCAGCTTTTGCCTTGGCTGCTCCACGAGAAATTGCGGCAGGTGCTGCTTTCTCCATCTCGATGGCAAAGAGGGTGGCGATGTCAGCGGAATACTCAGGCTCGGGTTGATGCTCTTGAGCCATAGAGGTTTCAGATTCCTCAACTGAAGCTACCTTCTTACTCTTACTCTTGCCTTTACCTTTAGAGTCTTTTCCTTTGCCACCTTTGCCTTTACCCTTGGAGTTTTGGTTGTACCAACTACTCTTGTTCCAATCATTCTTATACCCATCATTCTTGTTCCATGAGGGGTTCCATGAAGAGGAGTTGGACCATGAAGAACCTTTTCCCTTCTGTTTACCTTTGTCGTTTCCCTTGCCCCCATCTTGACTCTTTCCTTTTCCTTTGCCGCCTTTTGAGCCACCTTTGCCTTTTCCTTTGGCTTTGGCCAGACTTGCAAGTGAAGCTTGCATCTGGCTGGCAGCTGCGGCTAATGCATCAACATCCATTGGTGCTGATCCAGTCTTTGCTTCTCTTCGGCTTTCGATGTTCTCGTGGTAGGCCAAAATCTCTGACTTCATGATGGCGTAGTCAGTGAGTCTTGAACTCTGGAGGTCAAGGTGATCTTGGAGCTTGGCTGGACACATCTGCTGAAGACAACTTCTTGCAATGTCATCATCAAGAGCTTTCTTCTTTCGCTCTTCATACTTTCGCCTGATGTTCTCCCAGGCTTCTATGCTCTCTCTGAGCTTGTCCAATGCACACTGTTGTGGGTGCAGGACCTTCTTCAGCAAAGCTGAGTTTGCTTGTGGGTTCTGTGGATCATACTTAGTGATCAATCGTCTCAAAGCCTCTAGGCCAAAGTGCTGACCTCTGGAGGTATTCTTGACAATCTCGAGGGCTTCTCCCTCACACAGTGAGATCAGAGCCTGTCGGGCCTGAGCTGAAACAAGCTCGGCTCCTTCAGGATAATCATCTTCCAGAGATGTCTCATTGATCTCTGTGTCTTGATGCTCTTCGAGGAGCTGAATGCACTTTTCTGCATTCTTGTGACTTGTCTCAATCCAAGTCTTGAACTTGAAGTACCATGAGTCCCAGGTACCTGTGTGTCCACTGAACTTGTCAGGCTTTGGAATGCCTTTCAATTCTGATCTGTCTCTTACTTCTACGCTGGTGGCTATGTTCCTTGTGATCGCCGTTTGTTGTGTGTATGCTTCTGCCATTGCTCGTTGCAATTGGCTCTGCCCCTGTGCTAGGGCTTGCATCATCTGTGCAAATTGTTGTGCCATGTCTGTGGCTTGTGGTGCCTGTGCTCCTGGCTGTTGCGCCATGCTGACTTGCTGCCAGGGATTGAAGCAA